GTATCCATTTAACTTACACCCCCGAGTGTATCCATTTAACTTACACCCCCGAGTGTATCCATTTAACTTACACCCCCGAGTGTATCCATTTAACTTACACCCCCGAGTGTATCCATTTAACTTACACCCCCGAGTGTATCCATTTAACTTACACCCCCGAGTGTATCCATTTAACTTACACCCCCGAGTGTATCCATTTAACTTACACCCCCGAGTGTATCCATTTAACTTACACCCCCGAGTGTATCCATTTAACTTACACCCCCAGGTGTATCCATTTAACTTACACCCCCAGGGTGTAAGTTAAGGAGACCCTATTTATAATAGTTGCTCACTTGCTAAATTACATTGATTTTGGGGAGTAAGGCAAAGGTGTATCTTATTTGGGGATTATTATTATTATATCGAGATTACTATGTAACATTACTGATACGTTTTATTATTATACTTATTGGTTATATAAAGTCAGGATAACGATAATAAATCGGACTCAGTATAATGATAATCATTATTAATTTCGCAACATAATGTTATAATATGCGCGAATTATATAGAGAACTAGAAAGTTTGACAGGATGCCAAGCAAAATGTTAATAACTCCAAACGAAAAAATATATAGACAGTCATTTAACATGTCGAGTTTATCTATACATCATAGCACAGGAGAACTTTTTTTGCCTAGTTAATATGTTCAATCTTGAACATTTTAAAAAATGTACTTTTCCAAGGGTAGTAGTAGTGTAAATTTCTAAAGTGTGTATCCTGAGTTAGTACATTTTCAACAAAAAGTATAAAATGTGCAAAAAGCAATAACCTGATGACCAACTTATACTCAGGTGGATAATCTCCAAGTTAATATTAGTGATAACCATAACCATACTACTTGAAATCCCCTGAATATGACAAAAATCATATTTTTGTCTTTTCCAAAAGTCAAACTTACTAACTATTAACATCAAAAACTTGTTATTTTATATCCAATTATTAATAACCTTCCCCTAAATAGCTCTTTATCTTGCTCCTCTCTGGGACAAGGCATCTCTGAAAAAATGAGCAACTTTAAAAAATCTGAGTAGACTTAATTTTATAATTTAAGAGTCAAAGAGGGATTTGATTCTAGAGCCTTTGCCAAAGCTGTTGCTCCTGTATCTCCAATTTGATTATACTGGAGAACCAAAAAAGTCAGAGAGGAATTTGATTCTAGAGCCTTTGCCAAAGCTGTTGCTCCTGTATCTCCAATTTGATTATACTGGAGAATCAAAGAAGTCAGAGAGGAATTTGATTCTAGAGCCTTTGCCAAAGCTGTTGCTCCTGCAGCTCCAATTTGATTGCTCTGGAGAATTAAGGATGTCAGAAAGGAATCTGATTCTAGAGCCATTGCCAAAGCTGTTGCTCCTGCAGCTCCAATTTGGTAACCACTCATATCTAATATATTCACATACTGATTAAGCATTAGCATATAGTAGGCATCTGCTAATAGTCTCAATGTTAATGTCTTATTTGGTTCATATCTCAAAGATTTAATAAAATGATTCAAAGCATTTTCATATTGACCAAGCATCAAATAGTCTGCCCCACTATTTCTCAATTCAAGTGCATCAGTCTGTAATAATTCATTCCAGGACATTGTCTAGTTAACTGAATTGTTCAGGATTGAGTAATGCCGATTTCCAATAAGTACAACTTTATTGCTGAGTAATGCCGATTTCCGCTGTCAGTGGTACAGACTCTGTGACACACATCGGACTTGAGTAATACAAGCGCAGAAGCTGCGGAATTCGTGAAGATGCAGCATGTCGATTTGATTATCCCGTTTATCGAAAAAATCTTAACAAGCAATTGGTTTAATGAAATGATAGAAAGGTATGTAAGCGATTGTAGTTTCCCTAGCAATCAGTATCTTCAGCATCTCAATTAATCTTTTATTTCGAACATTGTTCTTAATCAAACAATACTTTGCATTAGAATAGTTCTTTATATTCTAATAAAATCCGTGTTTAAACATGGTAGATTTCTATCGTTGGTAAAAGTGCAAATCGGTTTTCCATATCGGCGGTATACGAAATCGAACTTGCCTTCGATTTCATTGAAATCTTTGGCATAAAAATTATTATTGGTTAGAAAAAATTCTCCGACCTACAGGGTTCTAAAATTGATTTTATCAAAAAAAGTAGACATACGAACTCGAAGTTAAATAGCAACTAGAATATTATCTTTTTGGGAGCGTAATCGTTAATTATCCTGGGATAAAAAAATATATTCGTTTGTTATATGTCACATAGCCTGGTATTTGTCTGTTGTGACTGTTTGTGTGGTTAGAGAAATAACTATGGTCTGGAATGCCAGCGATGTTTACATGGTGTTCGACTTCTCAAGATAATAATTAAATTGTTTTAAACGGTGTTTATTACGATCTTGTGCGATACGCAAGATACATGAAAGTTAATTGATTGCACGTCAAGATTGTCAGAAAAAAAGCATTTGTACTATTAGAACGAAGTTTCCCGTTTTAGCATCGAGAAGAATTTTAGGTAAATACGATATAATTTATTAAAGCAGTATAAAAAATTAAGATTATTGTAAACCATATTTTATTACTCAACGAATAAAGAATACTGATAATATTAGTTTTGTTCTTCAAAGGAAGGTAACGTCAGTTTGGTAGATGCTAAATCAGAGAGTTTTTTTACTGTCGTGGATAAGCGTAGCTCTCGTTTAGTTGATCGTTTTTTCATCGCAGGTGGATCGACTTCCTTACCACCGGATTGTCTTCGCTTGGTGTGGGGTTTTCTAATGATGAATCTTTTTCGGATTTGATTTTAGGGATAGATTTTTGGTCGTTTGGTATTTTGGGTTTGGTTGGTTAATGATTTGTATAGAATACTTCTCTTCTCAGAGGCGGAAGAGGTGGATGAGGAGGGGGTGGTGAGCGTAGAGGACATATATTGAGTAATGTTTGTGGATATAAAGTTAAAATTATAAAGTTCGAGGCATAATTTATCATTGTGGATAAAGGGAAACTTTCGAACCTAGTTTTTCTTTGTTGTTCGGCTATAAAGATGTTTTCTGCTGACATGATGGCAAACTCTTATGTCAAAGTCTGCCATTTTTATAGTTGGAGACGTATTGGGAAGTTTGAATAGTTAAGCTACCATGTCATGGCATACATTAGCGGTTGATTTTATGATGCCGATTGTACTAAACCGAGCACGCGCACATGGCATGTTTGATGGTATTTTCTGAGACACATGACATTATATTAATATGCGTTTACCGGTAAAAAATAGAGATTATTTTATTAAAAAGAAATAATAATTGAATGTGATTCGGTCATATGATAGTAAAATTAATTCATATTTTTAGCACGTTATTTGGAGACCAGTAACGGTCCCAGCTAATTTGTTTACGTTGTCCGATAAAAAGAAGGTGGTGGCGAGCCAATCAGGATTTTGATTAGAACAAAAACTGAAATACAGAGTAACTGAAAAAAAAAAGAGTTCGAAATATTTTATTAGTGCTGTGTTAAAGGTAGGAAGGAAGGAGTAATGTTTAAATGAAGGAAGTAGAAGGGTGTAAGACGCTGTATTTATATATAGAGAATGAAAAGCAAACTGGTTTCAGAAAGATACCTCGATATACGCAATAGTAATATACTGCAAGTTGCCGAAAGAAGGGAATTCTTTAATTTCATTGTAGAATAGAGATTGCAAGCAAAAAGATTTATGGTAATTTACGTATCCCAAAACTGTTATTTTATTTATTTTATTATATAATGTATTAAAACAACGTATGTAGACCATAGAAGAATAATAATAATCTTGTGGCGCATACGCATTCTCTCACCTCTGTCTTATAAATGTAACTGCTGTTCTAAGGGTGGTTTGGTGGGCAAAGGTCATACTAATATCAGATAAAGATAAATATAAGGTATAAAGATAAAGAATAGATATAAGCAAATGATCTACAATAGCAATTAACGAAAAAGGTAATACGAGGTTAGTGGGAAAATGTCGCTTTACTATTATATTCGCATCTACCACTAAGATCAAACAATTTCACAGAAATTGTAAGACTATATAGTTCAGGCTTTACGTTAATGTAAAATGGGAGTCCATTATTTATTTCAGGTTAGTGCATTTTTTCATTTAATTTAGTCGACGCTGGTGGAAGCGCAACAATAAGAGAACTTTTACTCTTTATTCCTGTGTCACGTTATTTACAATTTGTAAACAATTTTCAACAGATTGCTGGGCGATGAGCTCGACAAACAGAATATTCTCTCTCTTTTTTTTATTCTACAGGCGATGTCTTAACCTCTAATTAGAGTCTGAGCAACAATTTTGTCACAAAAACGTGGCGTGGTGTGATTTGATCGATTTGTAAAAAAAAAAAACCAAACTCTCGTGACTACCGATCTAGCATTGCTGAGCTGATTAAAACAGTATCTGAAATCTGCTTAATAGAAGACGTTTTTCTGGATTGTTATATGCTGTTGTGCTGAAAACGACGTCGAATCCAAGTATAATTGGACACATTTCATAGTTGTCCGGAGCGTAATGAAGGGCTTTCTAAGCTATGCGGTATAGTCTACCCCTGCTTTTTCCCTTTTTGGTTCTGTCGCATTTTTTTTAATAACACGTAAAAAATAATACTAATAATAATCTTGCAACGGACTTTTAACGGTTTCCGTTTTCTCAACGTCTAGGAACAATGGTACCCCTTGTGATGGCATTCCAAAAGCAAATGTTTCCATCTTTTCTGCATTAGCGGGCAAACCATGCCATGCCATTCTCTCGTTCGTTCTTGGCAAAACAATTTGTCGAGACATGCGTACATGGCTGCACTTTTGAGAGATACTTAGCCATTCCGTTGGGTAGATCAGACGTTAATTCTCAAAAAAGAAAAAACAAAATAAATATTACGTAATTTCCAATTAGCAACACCATACTTGGAATAAACTAATAGAATACAATGCCATTTTAGTTCAACAACGCCTCTTTCTCTGTAGACATGCAATGTAAATCGACTTGTCCAATTTGCGGTATAGTCTTTACCGAATTTGATGGTCTTTTAGGCTTGATCGGTTTCTTCCCTCTCGGTGGGGGTGTTGATCCATTCTTTAGATATGGATTCTCCAGCTCTGCCGATGCCGCTTCGTCAGCTACTTGCAATTGTCGAGAGCGCTTCTCAACTTCAGCTCTTTTGTTTCGTATCTATAGATCATTACCATAAGATCTTTGCAAGGGTATCGTAGTAATATTCTTTGAATCGAATTAGACCAGTTTGTCCAGATCAGGATTGAAGTTTTGTAAACTTTTATTGCGCTCGTATCACTTGTTGCGTAGTATACATTAACCTTTTTTTAAGAAAAAGTCGTCATTTGAATAAACGTTTTCAAGCCAAAGATTACATGAAGACGGGAATATTGATTAACAGGCCAGGCCACACCACCTCTTTTCCGGTACTGATACAGCCTTGTATTTCAGAAATAACGTTCTGGTTAATAAACCGCAATAATACGTGTTCGTCCAACACACGTTCTGCTGTTACTCGATTTTATCTACAGTGCACGAAAAAAGTTTTTGGAATGGCGTTTTTATTAATTGTGTAACGAAAAATAGTCAGAGAAACATGAAAA